AAGCATTTTAGCAGGATATGTGAAAAATCCAGAGTGGCTATAAGTCACTAAGTATCAGCATTCCCCGGACATGTTGCTGGGACTTTGTTCTTTTCTCCCCGGTCCCTCAATGTCACAATCATGCTGACACAATATTGCACCATTACCAAGATATAGATGCAGGTTGTATCAGCATTTCTATTCAGAGATAGGTAGAAATAGAGGAAAAATGTGGTTTTACCTCAGCAGGTCTGGCCTTTAACTCTCAGCTTCTTCCTCCTACCAGTGATGCCTGACCCTAGGAGTGGATATATGCAAGTGGTGGTTGGAATTTTCCCCATGAATGCTAGCATGTGGATCAATAATCGGAGCTCACTGGATGACTTTATCCTACTGGGGTTTTCTGATTGGCCTTGGCTAGAAATGCCATTCTTTGTAATTTTTCTGGTGGCCTATATGTTTGCCTTATTTGGAAATATCTCCATTATCCTAGTTTCCCGTCTAGACCCCCAGCTTGTCAGGCCTCAGGCCTATTTTGTCTCCAATCTCTCCCTTCTGGACATTTGCTACACTACCAGCACAGTCCCTCAGATGCTGGTCAACCTCAGAGGGCCAGAAAAGACCATCAGCCACTGGGGCTGTGTGGCCCAGCTCTATATTTTCCTGGCCCTGGGTTCAACTGAATGCATCCTTCTGGCCATCATGGCCTTTGACCGCTTTGCTGCCATTTGCAAACCCCTTCGCTACCCAGTCATCATGAACCAGAGACGATGCATCCACATGGCTGCTGCGGGCTGGATTAGTGGCTTTGCCAATTCTCTTGTGCACTCCACTCTAACAGTGGTGACCCCCAGGTGTGGACGGAGGGTGATAGACCATTTCTTCTGTGAAATCCCTGCCCTTCTGAAGCTAGCTTGTACGGACACAACAGGGATCGAAGCAGCGTTCAACGTTCTCGGGGCCTTGCTGCTCTTAGTCCCACTCTGCCTCATCCTGGGCACCTACGTGCTCATTGCTCAGGCAGTGATGAAGATTCGCTCTGCTGAGAGTCGTTGGAAGGCCTTCAACACCTGTGCTTCACACTTACTGGTGGTCTTCCTGTTCTATTTCACCGCCATTAGCATATATGTACAGCCTCCCTCCAGCTACTCTCGGGACAGGGGCAAGATCATGGCTCTGTTCTATGGCATCGTCACCCCCACCCTCAACCCTTTCATCTACACCTTGAGGAACAAAGATGTGAAGGCTGCACTGGGGAGAGCACGGACCAGGGAGTTTTGGGTCAAGACGAGGTGAGGGGTAAAGAAAGACCTAAGTAACAATACAGACACATGTTTCCCTGACAAAGAAGATTCTGGAATCAGAATTGATAAGCGAACTGCGCATGAAATGGCACAGAATTCACAAGAGTAACTTGACCAGCGAGGGAAATCAACCCCTGGTGAATACTAAACTGCGCTTTAGGGAGTTGTGAAAGCATAGTCCTTCCCTCAACTCCCTGACCATAGGAGATGCTTGAGCTGTGGACAGATCTGAACCCTGTGATTGAGGGCCTCAAACCCTGTGGCTACAGCGGTTGTGACTTTTGAGCCATAGCCAACACAGGCAGCAAGACTGTTCCATCTCTCTCACAATCTCAAGTAGAGAAGGATCATTTTACAGATATGTTTTAGCAACCTCATCCATGTGAGTTCTCTTAGTAAATATAGAAATTTCATTCTTCACTTTAGGCTTCCATCTGGTATCTCAAAAACATGAGGAAGACTATTCTTACACTAGGAGACATAAGTAAAATAAGAATCACTTAAACATAAGTTGGTAGATGGTGACATTTGATCTGCTAACCAAGAGGGCAGCTAAATGACTGATGCATGGGGACATATCCAGGGTGGATA